TAAACATTTTGTTCAGTTTAAATATAAATTTCAAAATCATTATCTTATTTCCCACTCTGATTGGATGCCTTGGGCCTCCACCCTTTCATCCATCTCTGCTCACACCTGCTAGGATGACATCAGGTTGGGATAAGGAGATAAGGGAATAGCTGGCTTACCACTTTAGTTTTGTTTGGAGAGCAATATAGGATGAGATACATCCAGTATGCCTCGGGCAGCATGGAAAATATCCCCCATTGTCACTGTTAGTTGTGCTGTTGCTATTAACACTAACATTACCTTGTTACCTAAATAATTTAAACTTAGGAAGACCAGCTACCTCCTTCGACAACATAGATCCAGCATTTTTTCTTTCTTTCTTTCTTTCTTTTTTCTTTCTTTTTCTCTCTGCTGCCCAATTTGTGCAGGTGTTTTAACATGTCTCTGACTAAAGGCCTGTAGGCCATAGTAATTGCTGGACCCATGATGAATTTGTGTCTACTTAAACGTACTCAGTCATATGGCTTCACAATCTTACAAAACCTATAATTGTGCTACATCAAGAGAAAATACTTTTGTTTACTACAATTTGTATTCCCAAGTTGCTTAAATTGCTGTATACCTAAAAATGTTTTCTATAAAGTCTTTTTTTCCCAGTTTACATGGAATAGCCACTTCTTACTTTTCTTTTTGTTTTGGTAAAGAATTTCCAGTGATCGGAGAAAAATATCTATCCTAGTAAGGTGTAATACTATCTTCCTTTATTGGTTGTCCAATATTGTTATAATCATTTCTCTGTCCTAAGGCATTTTTATTAGAAATTAGATTGATCTATGTCTCAATGTGTTATTGCTAAATGAGTTTTCTCTGTTATTTTAATCTAACCCTCCTGGAGATTCTTATTTTCAAGTCCCAATGCATTCTCTGATGATACTGTGGTAGAGAATAGGAATGTTTTCATTTTCACAGTTATTGTTGTTGTCCATGCAGGATTTTATAGGTTTCTGTTAAGGTTCACTCATACTGGTAATCTCTTGTGAGTACAAACCAAACTTTTGCCTTTTTCTTAATTCCTTGTTTTTCCTATTACACCATCTTTGGTATTTATTCATTATTTTTGTTGTTCTTGATTGTTTAGAGTGATTTAGTGGATTATGATGATGTCTTTATCAAGGAATATTGTGTATATGTTTTTATATATATATATATATATTATTAAAAATAGGTTTTGTTGGATTTTGTTACTACTTCAGATCTGTGATGAGATTGTTGCATGAAGTGATTATCATATGGTGGCCTTGCTTGTTACTGTTTTTACCTTACCCACAAAATAACCTTTCAAAGGTGTACTTACTGAAAAGTTGATTTAAGCCTGTGCAAGTAATAACATTTGTGAAATTATGTAGAAATGCTGTGCATGCATTCATATATTCTTATGCTTATATCTGATATTATGAAATTTCAGATTTATGTAGCATTTATCGTTAAGAAATCAAGTTATTTGACAACTCATGCTAAAGAAAACTATTGGAAAAGCAACATCCATGAGATTAAGAATGGAACAGAAGATCATAGTTCTTGTATTATGAGTAGTGCAAATCAGATGAGAGTTCACTTTATGTATCTTCAGAGCTGTATCATCAGTGTGTAAAAGTAAATAAGTCTATATATAACAAATTAAAGAAATTAAAGTAATTAAGATCATGTCAAAGATGATTTTGAAGTACCACATGGTTATAGAATGAGTAATATGTATTTCATAGTAGTGTGTAAATAAAGTCATATGCCATTGACACTTCTGTGATTCCTTGAGAGATTATTTGATTTTATTTGTGTCACAACAGGTAATACTGTGTGGATGTTTTTAATTAATAAAAAGGATTAGCTCAGCAGTTCCCAACCATTTTACACTCTCAACCCTGCAACATCAGCTGTTCCAATCATAATTTTTCCATCTACACAGTTTCAGGCTAAGAAAAGAAAAAAAATGCAGAGTTATTTGAAAATTGCGGAGTTATTTACATCGTTATTAACTCATTGCCAGGAACATGTAGCATTGTTCTATGAAATGTGCTTACATGGCTCTCAAGTGCAAAGCTACCAAGCGAGGCAATTAGTAGACCTATATGACCTGACTTGAGTTCCCCATTTTTTTTTTTTTTCCTTTCTTTCTTTCTTTCTTTCTTTCTTTCTTTCTTTCTTTCTTTCTTTCTTTCTTTCTTTCTTTCTTTCTTTCTTTCTTTTTTCTTCTTCTTCTTCTTCCTTTCTTCTTTCTTTCTTTCTTTCCTTTCCCCCTAAAATGACTATTGATATGGATGCTGTTACTATTATTGACACTACACTTATTACAATGCTATTAGGACTATAGAATAAAAAAAATAATATTTCCAAATATCAAGGAAGAGGATAGGTAGGATTAGTAATTCATTCTTTGGTAACTAAGCACATGGAGCCCTCTATGTGTAATGTAAATATATTTAATTAACTAAACTCATGTTGGGCATATGCGTGTGTGCCATCCCTGGTGGCATTATGTTAATCTTATACTTAATATTTTTTCTTGCTCTCCCTCTCTTTCTCATCTCGTACCCTCCTCTTTATCCCATTTCTCTACCTCTCCCTGCCTCCCCTCCCCTTATTTCTTTGCTTCTCCCTTTTTCTCTCCCTTTCCCTCTTGCTTTTCTTCTCCTTCCTCATAATCCCCCTCAGCCTTTTCTCTTCCTTACTCACACTACCTGCTCGTCACTTTTGTACAGTTCTCTCTCGCTGCCTCCCTTCCTTCCATTCTTCTTCTCGGTGATCCATTCCCTTCTCTCCTCCCTGTTCCTCTCCCTTCCATTCTTTCTCTCCCTCCTCTTTATCTTGCACCTCCTACTCTGTCAGTATTTCCTCACTCCCATTATCCCTCCTCCTTACCCATCCACTCTCCCTCTCTCCTCCCCTTCCACTCTCCCTCTCTCCTGTGGCACCATTACCAAAGGAAAGCTGCTTATTGCGTATATTATGGAGCACTGTGTTGGTGTGTCAACAGAGCATATGTCTGTACTGAGTTCAAGTTGCTCTGGAAAACAGGTTTTATGGAATGTTGTTGTATAAAAGTTTTCATTTATTCATATTACATATTTTATTTGCCTGCATGTTTGTTGGGTGATATGCACTAGGCTTTATTAATTAACTTTTTGGGCTGATCTATGTTTTTGCATTTGACAAAGTATATACATAATTATTTGGCCAGATTTTTCTATTGTAATTTTTTTTACTGGTAATGAGAAAATAACTTATGATAAATCCCCTGCATTTATTAATTCATTATTAAAAGTAAATACTATTCCCTTGCTGTTCGGTTTCACATCTTGACATTTTATTCTAGAGGTCCTAGAAAATGTTTTTGAATTTGTAATTTTCGTAAATAATTCGGAAGGAGTATATGAACATGAAAGGAGGAAGGCGTTCCCACCAGTTGAAAAAAGCACTCCGCAAAGAGCTCAAGTTCTCTTCTTTGAAATAGATAAGTGTTTTTCATGGTGTATTGTCATGACTCTTTATATTTTTATTACTTAATTGTTTCTTGAGTTACTCTTTTATGTGCCATAATTTAGATATGGAATAATGGAAAAGTTATCAAGATCAACATTAGTATTGGTAAATAAGATTTATTAAATGGATTACTATATCTCTATGATTTTTACTTGTATCATCATCATTATAATTTTTTTTCTCTTTTTTTCTTCTTATCCACCTCTTCAGTAGACAAACCACCTCTATTATTTATATCTCACTGTCTTTCCTTTTATTATCATCATTGCTAATGTTGTTGTTACTGTTATTGCTATCATTGTTATTATTATTGTTGTTATCATTATCATTATTATTATTATTATTATTATTATTATTATTATTATTATTATTATTACTGTTGTTTTGTTGTTATTGTTATTATTAATGTATATATTTTTTTGGTATGATTAGCTATTATAATTATCATTATTATTGTTTTTTTTTTTTTTTTTTTTTTTTTTTTTTTTTTTATTAGTTATTATATTATTATTATTATTATTATTATTACAGTAATTCTGTTGTATTCAAAGATAGTTCATCTCATTGAGGTTTTTGCATATCAAATTGTTTTGTATATTGGGATAGTTTTTCCTTTTTAGAAATTATGTACATGGTATAAATCCATCCAAACCCCCCCAAAGTTTCCTTTACACCATTTTAAGTTAGAAAAAGTGCATACTTAAACTCAAAATTGCAAAATTTCGTGCCTAAATACACACCAGAAGGTTCTTGAAAAAATGGTTGAAATCTAGCAATAAATGAAACTTTTAACTGCTTTTATTGTCTCATTCTTTAAGATGGAAGTTTACATGTCGTTTATTTTGCCTTGTGATAATGCAAAGCCAGGTCTGACGTGTGTTTAGCTTCCCCCCTCCCTTTTCTTTCCTTTTCTTCCTTCTTTTTCTTCTTCCTTCTCCTCTCCTCCTTCTCCTCTCCTCCTCCTCCTCCTCTTCTTCTTTTTTTTTCATTGTCTCCTTGTCGCTGCCTTTCATTTTAGCCTTTTTATCTTTTGGGCCAGTCACAATTCTTCAGTTGAAAAATAGAACAGGAAGCAGACACACACATACACACACACAAAAAAAAAATGATGATGATAAAAATATAAGAATAATGATAATATGGGAGCACATTCAGTTGTGAGAGTTTTACCTGTTGAGATATGGAAATAAGCTTCCATGAATTTTGCTAGTGTTTGGTTACTGGAAGTGTATGGATATTGATGTCAAATTCCTTGACAACCAAGTTCAGCTACTAGATTATAAGTCATAGTAGTAGTAGTGGTAGTAATAGTATTGTCATCATTCTTTGTTAACTTCCTTTTTTTATTTCATGTACTCCTTTCCCCGCAGGATGACGAGGATGAGCGTGTATTGCCTGACACAAGAAATAATCAATGGACAAGTGCAGAAGTGCGTGTCCCAACTGAATGTGTTGGTCTGGTCATAGGGCGGCAGGGTGCCAATGTCAAACTCATCCAGGAACGAACCGGCACAAAGATCAACTTTTCAGATGAAGGTTTGTCCGATTGAGAGGAAAGGGCTGGAAAGGGTTTGGTTTTGTCTTTGCTTTTACCACTTTTTTACTTTTATCTATGTCTTTTTAATCCTTCTCTTTTCCTTATCTCTTAATTTATTTATATACTTTTTTCTGCAGAAATTGATGGGCATAGAATATGTCTTATACGAGGCCCGGAAGAAAATGTCACCACAGCACAGAAACTTGTTTTTAAAGCCGTTTCGGATCAGCCTGTCATTGAATCAACTGAAATGTTTGTTCCTCAGGTGAGTAACTGTGAAGTTATTTGAAATTTTAATGCATCAGCTTATATGAGGTTACAATTTGCCTTTGCTTATTTTAGTTGTTATGATAGGCTTATTGGTTAGTGTCTTTTATCATTGTAGATGTGGCATTGCTGTTTGTACTTACTTTGATTCATTATTCACTTTTTTAAGGATAATTTGTTGATGCATAAGTATGCACAAGATACAGAGCAGCATCACTTTACAGAGGAAATAATTCATGCGTATATGCTAGATAAGTATATTTAGCCTTAAAAAAAAACCCTGTTTATGTCAAGTCCATCTTATTTCTACCTTCCAGTACTCTGTTGGGAGGATTATTGGCAGAAGTGGGGAGAGCATAAGATCTGTGTCACGAATAAGCGGTGCAAAAGTTGACGTAGAAAGAGAGGAAGAGCAGTCACAGTTGATCAGAAACCAAGGTGAGAATGTTTTTTTTTTTTATGTACATATATATTGTACTTCACTGTATGACATGATCTGTGTAATGCGACTGGCTGATGGGTCTGAAGCACCATTTTATTTTGAGAATGCAGCCCTCCGATGGGTCATAATTAGAAATTCATTTTATTATTATTATTATTGTTATTATTATTATTGATATCATTATTATCATTATTATTATTATTATTATTATTATTATTATTATTATTATTATTATTATTAATGGGTTTTCAATTTTTATGCTGCTTAGATATTGGTTTATAGATTTTCAAAAATTTTGTCAACACAGACATAATCATATAGATTATTTAATATGAAAATGAACACAAATTTAGTCTACAGACAACTATTATTTTTTTAAGTAATCATGAAAAGTAATCACATTTATGATAGAAATAACTTTTTTACTTTCATTTTTTACATATTCAAAAATGATGTCAATTTCTAATTTACTGTACCTACCCAAACGTATCAGATGTGGTTACTGTTTGCAATTGAATACTTTTCACTATCTTTGCTAGGTGGTTTTCACTTATTTTTTTTTATGATTTTACATGAATATAGAACCTTGTATGTAGCTTGACGTATTTTTTTCTTATCAAGACCCTCTAAAGTGACCTGCTGTGTGTATGATCACTTATGGGTTGTATTGCTAAGACTTTTTTTTTTCTTCTTTCTTCTTCTTTCTTTCTTTTTTTCTTTTTTCTTTTCGTTCTTCTTTTCTTTTTTTTTTTCTTTTCTTTTCTTTCCATAATGTTATTTGAGCTACCAGTGTTTTTATGACTCCGACAGACTCCTCAAAACACCTGAGAACAAAGTATCTGTTCTTGTGCTGATGGCACAAGCCATACTTGGGAAAGTTTTGATCCTTTGGCATTAGGGGGGCATTGGCATCATTGCCAGTCACACGGAACAGGTTAAGGAAATGTTGATATGTGTTTAGGAAGCCTCATACTGTTAGGTATTAATAATTTTACTTGGATTTTTTTTTTAAGAGTGGGTATTATCTAACAAAAGCTGTAACAAGATGTGCTTTTAGGAAAAAATTATATAATATATATATATATATATATATATATATATATATATATATATATATATATATATATATATATATATATATATATATATGTATATGTATATGTATATGTATATGTATATGTATATGTATATGTATATATATATATGTATATGTATATATATGTATATATATATATATATATATATATATATATATAATATATATATATATATATATATATATATATATATATATATATATATATGTTTTATAGAGGCACTCAAATGTTTACTTATTATTCTGTTTTAGCTTGTTTGTTTTTTTCAGATTATTTCTCCCTAATGTGTATCATGATCATAGATTTTAATATTTGGATGAATTATTTTCATATACTCACATGTAGCATAGATAAACATTAGCTCCCAGGAGTATCATCAGAGTTGTCAAATAGCATCATCCGTACAGCACATTATATAGGATTTGTTGAATTTTAGGATGACGTCAGCATACAACAGAGTTCAGGGTTGTGTGTCAGATTTCTTAAGGGCTCATATCTCAGAATGGAAATTTTAGGGGAGTTAGTATACATTTTTTACAACCATGACCAGACTTGTGAGCTCTTTAATGATGATGGACATTTAAGTTGTGTGTATATTGTAGTTGCATTGTATATATGTGTTATATTGTATGTAAGTACATATACAAATGCATGTACATGTACACATATGCACATAAAAATACAAACCACACACAAACACATACTCACTCACTCACTCACTCACACAGTCACACTCACACACATTTTGCTGATATCCATTTGATTTTCTATTTTTATGTAGAGCATGCTTTTATGTTTCTGTTTTTTTTTTTTCACTTTTATTATGATATTGTGAATATGGCAGAGGATATGAGGAGGATAGTACTCAAAGGCAGCAAAGAACAGATAGACGCAGCCAAATCCCTGATCTTAGAGAAGGTACAGTCTGTGTTGTTTGACATGCGGCAACTGGGGGCTGAGTTGCTTGGGACTAACACTACTAACCTCTCTCTTTTTTTTGCTTAGATGCCTTTATTATGCTTGTTTGTATTTACGGATGGATACGTCTTCTGCTTTTGCTTGGTGGTTGCTTGTGTGTTGTAGATTTGGATTTTGTGCTGCAGAGAAGAAATCTGAAAAGTGTTAATTTTAATTGTGTCAAATAGTTGACTATTACTATTGATATAAAAAGAAATGCAAGAGAGTTTTTTTATGTAAATGTTATAATCATTGCAAACTGATCATTTGAGGTTATAAGTCTATGTAAGTTTATTTTACAGAGAGTGACATTTAAAACATTTTAGCTATTGCACAAAAGATAAAGCTTTGTAGAAATGTGTGATGATTTATATTTTGTATGTAACAAACATATCAACAAGTATACAAATTTTCAGTGGATTCAAATTAGATTTCACCGGATCTGTTGGATATTCATTTATCATATTTTGAATGTGATAATCAATTAGATCATTGCTATACGTTGAAGTCTCTGATGGAAAAATTGCATTATTTAAGTAATTTATGATAGATGACACTTCATTGATTCACTGATGCTTTTAGAAGCATCATCGGCAGCTCGACAGCTCAAGTGCCTCTGTTTTGGTGTTTGAAGATGCCTGTCTGTGAAATATGGCTTAGTAAGGCTTTGGCCACTTGCTATAACCACTTCTTCACCCTTTTTTGGATAAAATGAGTTCATTTATTTTCTGTATTTTTATAAATGCACTACTCACCTCTAATTTTCTTTAATAAGTGGGAAAAAATTAAAGTAGGATAACTGAGGATTTAAGCTTCTAATATGTGATCTAAATGCAATAACACTATGTGGAGTGAAGATGTTTCTGTGGCTTCCTAACTTACCTATCTACAGCAACAAATTCCAGTGCATCTTTTTGTGTTATTATGAAATACTGTACCTTCCTTAAGCAGTGCTTTTAGCTTATATTTAAACTATATGGCAATTAAGTAAGTTCGTTCCCATTTTTTGTTTTGCTTTTTTGATAACAGAAAATTAATCTTATTAATATATTGTATATTTGGCTGGTGTGTATTTTTTGTATTTGGTTTGATTATTATGTTTGTTGATTTGATGAATTATTGTTTGTGTTTGGTAAAAGGATTAGCAATTAATTTCATTTACCTATATGGTATTGATATGCTTATTAATTTTTATAATGCCTACAGGAAATTGGTTTAGGATTATTAGATAAATACTCTGAAACTAACTATACATTTGTAACAGGTTGCAGAGGAGGAGGAAATGAGACAGCAGATTCAGGCCTCGGCGGTTAACATGTCAATGAGAGCAAGAGGTCGGCAAACTCCTCTGGAAAATGGGGGCAGTGAGGTAAGTTGAAGACTAGTAACAGTATCATTTATTTTGGGAATTTTAGGTAAAATGAGAAAATAATTGTATTAACAAGGTTTAATTCATAAAGTTATCATTATTCTATTCAACAGGCAGCCATGAATGGGTCTATGCACCAGGAATATCTGTCTATGCCAGGCAGTGATCGTTTTATTGAAACATATGTATCTGCAGTGGACTCCGCTGCACATTTTTGGCTTCAGGTGAATATCCTTGTTGTTAGTGAAATTGTATATTTTTTTTCCTCGTTTCTAGATGCATGTATTATGAATTATGAAAATAATTGCTTATGCAGTTCAGACCTCATGAACTCATCAAAAGGCTATACCAAAAAGTAATTCAAGATATGCAGGCTTGAGCATGTAAAAGGTAAAACAGACTCTGGTGTTGGTGTATGTCTTTAAGAAGCAGTTGGTAAATATTCTCTTGGTTTTCACAGGTTGTAGGGCCAAGGTCCATTCAACTAGATAAGTTAGTGACAGAAATGACAGAGTACTATGAGGATGAAGACAACCGTGAACTCCATGTGCTTGAAAAGGTATGAGGACAGAGTCAGACTGTTGATATACAATTGTATGTCTACTTGATTTTTACTTCAGTGATTTTGTGAGACAGTGGAAGTTGATTTAAGAAGGAATATGGAATTCTTTGAGAAGTGATAACTGTAACAGGTAAGAGTGTTGCCTTTTATACGGCTCCTTTCCTTTTTATCATAGATCTAAATTCATTGGTATATAAATGAAAATAAATTAGGACTTTATATGTATTGGTCTACTTCTTGCCATGCTGCAGGT